GGAGACAAACGCTACATGTTAGTTGGACCCAGGATGAGTATAGGATCTACTATAGTCCCAGGAAGCCATGCCAATACTCTAGTGCTGCCTGACAGGAGAGGGACTTCTGGAGAGGTAAGAAATGTAGCTTTTTTATCAGGGCAGAGATGCACATCATAAATATACATTTGCCAAAAATATGAAATCATCACACTCCTTTTCCAAACAGCTGAGCAGAAAATAACAATAGAAACATGAAGGAAATGGGGAGGTTTTGTGTTTTTGATCTACTGCTGAGTTTACTTGATCGTTTACAGGTGGTTGTTCATTTGGTTTCAAAATGGTGAATTGATTTCGGGAATCGCAGCCCTTAATACTGTTATGTCCTTCAAGAGATCCAGGAAAAGTAACAACAATTAATACACATTTGTCAAAAAGGTTCTTCCTATTTCATGCTCTTCTTTTGAACATGTTGCTTGATAAATTGGTGTATTTTACCCCAATGACGATTAATTCCAATGGCAAATTGCACCACCAATGTTTGAACATGCTGAAGGCAGTTGTTGAAAATTTAAAACACTAACATGGTCGGTACAGATTTATTTTGGAAACAGTATGATATATCTGTGTCTTGTCTATTGCTGATATGTTTATTTGTGTTTTGCATAAACACATTGGCCTGTGTACTTAATAGTGGTCAGCTGGGCATAGTAAAAGCCTTCTTAGTAACATTTAAGAACGCAGGCATTATGTTTCACTGGAGCCTCAGTTGTTATGTCTGAGTGCAGCCAGGTGCGTCGCTATCCATGGTGCTGAAAGTTCTTCCACTTCTCTTGAAAATGTCAACACCTGAGGACCGTGTAGCGTAGATTCTTTAAAATAACAATCTTTTAAAGAGGGAACTGAGAGTGGGCCTCCAGTCTGATGATTAATAGAAATTATTGCTCATTAATTTCTCATAACACCAAACTTCTGTCCCCCTTGGCTATTGTTTTCATTGCTGCGTTGTTTGTTTTTTTAAATCACTATATTTTAGATTAACAGTACTGCAATAACGTTGTGGGTCGCATGGTGTCGGTATATTGTCAAATAGTGTCTCTCACACAGTTTTGTCTCCATGTCCAGCCCTGTTTTTGGTATTAAAAAGGCTTGAACACGAAACTAGCGCCATATCATTCCCGGCAGTGATTGGCGATGGAGCACAGTTGCCAAACGCATAACGCGGTATATTATTTCCTTATTACACTAGTTTAAAGTCCGGAGTTATTATTTTTATCTGTCTATTTGCACATCATGGAACCAAGCGGACGGCAGGCGTGGATAGAGCGATGGAGATGCGTCACCTACATGGTGGCATTGATGACATTGTGGAGCGAAGCCTCAGCTCAGATTAGATATTCCGTCTCCGAAGAGGTTAAAGAAGGAAGTGTTGTGGGAAACCTAGCAAAAGACTTGGGAATTGACAAGGCGACGCTGAAAGACAGAGAGTATCGTATTGTCGGCAGTTCATCGGAACCGCTTTTCCACCTGAACGGAGACGACGGCATTCTGTACGTCAGTAGGAAAGTGGACAGGGAAGAGATTTGTGAACGAAGCGATGCGTGTGTGATCAACCTTAAAACGGTACTGGAAAACCCGCTGGAAATCCATTATGTGGCCATAGAGGTGCTGGATGTGAACGACCACTCCCCCGTTTTTCCAGAGAAAGAGAAACGGCTGCAGATATTTGAATCGACGTTACCGGGCGCAAGGTTCCAGCTGCAACCCGCCCGCGACCCAGACGGTGGTCAGTTTTCTGTTCAGCAGTACAAACTGAGTCACAATGACCACTTTCGTTTGGAGGTTAAGGAGCGAGGCGAAGACCGTAAAATGCCTTTCCTGGTTTTACAGAAGCAGTTAGACAGAGAGGCTGCGAGGGAACACAAGCTTCTGCTTTCAGCTGTTGATGGTGGGAGACCGGCGCGCTCTGGAACAATAGAAATACTGATTGAGGTGCTAGATGTTAACGATAATTCGCCAGTTTTTACACAAGATACATATTCTGCTATATTAAATGAAAACACCACCCCTGGCACGTTAGTTATACAGGTTAATGCGACAGATGCGGATGCGAGTGCGAACAGCGAAATCGTTTACTCATTTGGCAAAGAAGTGGATTTAAATGTGCAAAAACTATTTACCATAGACGCAGAGACTGGAGAAATTAAAGTGATAGGTGTGATTGATTATGAAGAGAAGAAAAGCTATGAAATTGACATACAAGCGTCAGATAAAGGTCCCGTTCCCTTGTCCACTGACAAAACTGTGATAATAAAGGTAATCGACCTAAATGATAATCCTCCACAGATTGAAATCACGTCATTTTCCAAATCAGTTCCCGAGGACTGTAGAACCGGAACAACAGTAGCTTTGATCAGTGTCAATGATTTGGATTCAGGCCTCAATGGAAAAGTTTCTTGCTTTATACGCGAGGATGCTCCTTTCGCTATTTCTCCATCCCTGCAAGATAATATGTACGCCATAGTGACCAAGTCCAAACTCGACAGAGAAGAAAAGTTTTCTTATGAACTTACAATTGTTGCAAAAGACACCGGTGAGCCACCGCTCTCATCTGAAAAGACAATAACTGTTGTCGTGTCAGATAAGAACGATAATGTACCACAGTTTTCACTGAGTCCGTATACGTTTTACATTACAGAAAATAATGACGGAGTAGCCCCGATCTTTTCTGTCACAGCATCTGATCTAGACGACGGTGAGAACGCGCGTATTTCGTATCACATTCAGCGGGAGAGCAGGGGAGACAGTGTTGGTCAGTTTTTAAATATAAACTCTGAGAATGGAGACATCGTGGCACTAAAAAGTTTCGACTTTGAAACAGTGAAAACTTTCCAGTTCCACGTTGTCGCGTCAGATTCTGGAACTCCGTCACTGAGCAGCAACGTCACAGTGAACGTGTTCATTCTGGATCAGAACGACAACGCTCCAGTCATCCTGTATCC